ATGGAAAATACAAATTTTCTCTGTTTGTTGCCACCTCCCCGATTGTTTCCATCCACAGTTCATCGTACTTGTGCTTTAAATATATATATCTGTCCATTAAATATAAGAATACATTTAAAATTGCATTCACTATGACCATGAGATAGATCAAAGTTGACAAGGATGAAATAGAAGAACCTTTAGATATATTTAGAGAGTAAATAAACTTGCACAAGATTGCTGTGAAAAATAATGGAGCCAGTTTCAACTTTAAATCCCACAGAAGGCATTAAAACTGGATTGATTAAAGAAAATGCATTGAAATTCTTCCAGTTAGACCAGCAGCTCTTCAAATGAAAGGCACATCAGTTATCACCCAACTTATGAAAAAAATGCATACCTTTATAATTCTATTTTGTTTATTCAGTTTGTGCTGAAAGTATTCTTGGGATATTTATTTTTTAAAACAAAACTTTAAAAGGTTCATTAAAAAGGGCAAATATTGTTATAACAATATTTTATAAAATTTTATTTTTGGGATATGTGCTATCCAGTTGCTGCCATTAAATAGGCTTTGCTTTTAAGTGTTTGAAATATTTTTTTAAAAAAGATGTACGGGAACATAATTGTTTATATTAAAAATCCTTTGCATTATAATTCTGAAAAATAAAATTCTGAAAATAAAAACATATTACCGCTTAGCCATGGTTCATTATGAATCAATTATTAAAGCCTGAAAAACAGAAAAAGAAGTTTGTTCCAAATCTGAGGGTATTTATTGCAACATAATTTGTCCAGTCAGTCTTAATAAACTGTAATATTGTTATACAGATTCACTTACATGTCATTAGTTTGCCTAAAAAGGAAAATGAAGACCTATCCTTTTCCACAGACTTCAGGAAAGCTCCTCCACATCCTTTTCTTCCCTCAATCTCTTTTTAAATACAGGTTTACGCCAATATAGACAGCTTGTGATATACAGGGCAATCACCATAAAATCTATGTACATAGTGCAGACATTAAAGGTTTAGGATTATCCATTTTCTTGAAAATGGAATTATTATGCTCAAGGGTGAAGTTCTGATGAAATGTTTCTTTGTGAATGCTTAGGCTGGTGGGGGGGTGGGGGAGCCCTATAACCTGACCAAACCTGCTTAGAAGCCACCTGGTTTCCATTTTGCTAGCTCAACACTTTGTTAGATCTTGTATGTTTAATCATTTATGACATTTCAAAGCACTTAGAATGCATTGCGGATTTGAGATTTGTCCTTAAGTGGATCTTCTTTCCATTAGAAGCATTATTGGAAATATATTTTGCATACAACTGGAACTTTTTGTGTTGAAGACTCTGTGGGCGGTACAGCCTATAAGAGATAAAGCAACATCTTTAAAATGTTTATTGAGTATACTCTACCTGACTTCATTCTGCTAATCTTAACTTTGAAGAGACAATTTTCTGGGAAAAGATACTCTAATGCACATCCAATCTGTTACCATTCAAAACTGTAGGACCTCAAAGCTCAGAAATCACAGTCTGATGCTTCTGGAGAGAGTAAGATCTTACTTGATACTACAGCTGTCATAGCTTCTTTGAGGATACACATTTTTGTGTACAAAAGAAGTAAGTGACCAGTCCCCTCGAAATATTTTGGATCATTATTCCCAACAAACATGACCATTGCTAAAGGCATGTGCAAATTCTGATATAAACACTTCAAAACTGTCTGCAAACATTCCGACAGATTTGTGATATATTCAACGTTCAACAGAATTCTGATATATTTCCTAAACCCTTCAGTGGAATTATAATTTACAGGTTCTTTGAATAAAGAGAGTTTCTTCTTTAATGGGGAAAGTTATTTATGTCACAGCTGCAGATTCATATGAGAGCTTTCCTTCTTTTCCCAAGACTATTAAATTTGCTTAGGAGGCTTTGTGTAGGTCTTTGAACAAAACCTTTGAAAGTCCAGAAGGGAAAAAAACCCAGTATCACCAGCCTGAATTACTCTTCCACATGAGTGTCGACACTTTTAAAGAACCATTAAAAGATGAATGAGATGCTTACTCTTCACAGACATTAATTGAGTCTTCTCCCGTAAGAGTAGTACTTCTCTATGCTTTATACTCTATTTTTAATCATGCCTTTTTCAATTTTATATGATATAGATAGTAAACTAACAGTCTTGTACTTTTCTGAATTCCACCATCCCCTTTTAAACATAAACATGTAGGCATTTTCCACCCCTTTGGTAGAAAGGGTAGTTTTCCAAGGCATATTATTTTATTTGTCGATCACAAAATCAGAAATATCCAGTCTTATCATCATATTTACCTCAGAGATGATCTGTGTGAAATTACTCAAAGAACTATATTAACTCCTTTAATATAAATCTTAACAATTTCACAAAAGGGATATGCAACACAAATTAAACATAGCTGTGTTTTAGCGAGAAAGTTTGAGCAGTTATTAAAAGGAAAAAAAAACATCATGTCTTGGCAATTTATATATGGCCTTGATATAAAAGTAAGTTTTGGTTGTATTAATCATATGAGCTATATATATCTAGAAGAATTTGATATGAAATGGTTATTGGGAAATAAGAGAACCTAAAAGGAAGGTTAGCTAATATAGATCAGGAAGGTATTGAAGGATATGATGTGTTGTCAGATTAAAGAAGAAACACAGCAGACACAACTCTCTATTTTTCAGCATCTTCTGTATGGTTGCACCATATTATTAACGGATACTGTAATTATAGTTCTCTAAAGGAATCAGTTTTGAAATTCTGCTCTTTTCTAGGATGTCAAAGAAGATATAGGATATCATTTACTAAACAATAGACCAAATAGGCTCAATGAAAGATAACTGTAATATTAACTAGGAAAGAGATTGCTCCAGAAAGAGAAAATAGCCCTCCTTTCTGAATTTATTGGCTATTCTTTAAGACACTGCATCTTTTCTAGGTTTCTAGTTAAAACTATGTAGTTCAGGAGAATATGAGTTCAAATTCTAGCAGCCGATAAACAAATACGTTCTTGAATCTATTGGCTATTGGAAAAGACACAGCAACAGGTACAGAGGTACCTATACCAGCTCTGAATCACTCTTGCCTATTTCGGATCTAAATAATGTATTCCTCCAATAAGAAGCAAATGTTTGGATTAATCTATATCAATGAATATAATGGGTAGTATTAATATATGGGTATTAAATTGCACATTGGACATTATTTTGAAATAAAATACTATTGTTTGGCAATGCTGTTCCTTTAAAAACAGGTATAAAATGAATTTCTCAATTACTTTTTTGTTAAAAATAATTACATTAAACTAAATAAAAATATACGTCACTTATTGACAACATTATAAAGCACTGTTGTTATAGGGGGAGTAAAGGTCTGAAAAATGTTTTCATATTATTAGTATTGTTTTTATCCACAAACTTTGATGGCAATCCCAAATTCTGATAATGCAGAAAAATGTATACATTCTTGATATGTATTGATCAGCCTAAAGTCATGTTAATAGTTCTACGAATTTGGGCCCAAATTGTAGCAATGTTTGTTTAAACTCAGATTGTGCATGGTGATATTTTCAATGAAATTCAATTATAGCAAATTGTTTTTTCACTTTTTACATTTCATTTTTCTACTTATTAAGTTTTGCATATACTAATGTCTCATATTTTAAAAAAATCTGATGACTGAATGGATTAATAAATAAACTGAAAGGAATTCTGTTTCTGACAATAATTATTTGTATAAAAGTTCTTTAAAATAAGAGGATAATTAACTGAGCTTCGCTATGTACTTCTTAACTTTGCTTGCAATCCCTAGTCTTCTAGATGCAAATCAAATACATTCTAGCTAATTTCTTGCTCCTGAACTATTCATATTGTCTTACGGGGCTAAGAATGCTGAAACTAAGAGGAGCTAGCAGAATATTAGTAGTTCCTGTGTCAGTCTTTTCAGCAAGAATAGCAAGAATCTGGTAACATTTTAAAGCTAAAGTTGTTATGGTGTAAATCAGCCTAATTGTATATCTGAAGTGTCTGTCTTCTTGGTTTACATATACATGGTTGGAAAGAAGAATGATGAATTATAAATCAAGAAACATCATACTACAGGCAATGATAATTATACTGTTTCTGACAGTATTTGCTGTTGATGTCAATAGAATCAGCCTGTAGCTGATTGATACCATTCCTACTAATATCACTTAGCATCAGTGATACCGTCGTGCCTCTGTTTTTATGAAAAATAGCTGTGTCATGTTAAGATTTCTCTTTTTTGAGTTACAGAAGGCCCATTCATGAATATGAAGTAAATTCTTCGGTTGATTCAGAAATCATAGATACTTTTTTTAGTGGGTGTTGTGATTGTGATTAAAATACAGCAGCCAGAATTTCAAATCACAATATAATTTCATATACCAGAGTGTTTTTATTGTATTTTGCACACCAAGATGAGACTTCAGCTTGAATCGATAATGCTGATATATTGCTGATATAAATTATTACGAAAACATTGAACAGAAGGCACATACACGTTTAGTCTCTGTTGCATCTTTTTCCATCTGCATGGTAGCTATTTAAGCTATGAGAAAGGCTAAACATTTTAACAACATTTATGGTTTCTATGGACAAATGTTTTGGAGGTTCTTAAAGTTATTTCTTATTTGGTACTGCTGAAAAACAGTGTGATGGTTGTATGTTGAGAAGTGGATTGAATAGACAGTCTTGAAAGCCTGACAACTGAAGGCTTCTCCCCACATGAAAAGGGGAGGATCATAAACAAGATTTAGAAGTCAGATACAACATTCAGAAGAATATTGACAACTGAAAACAACTTCCAGCATAAGAGTGTAGCAGTGGTTAAAAGTATCAACCATTATCAGTGGAAAGCACATAACACAATGGGATATTAGAACCTCTTTAAGCCAGATTTAAAAAGCCGTAGAATAAAAATTATTTGAAAATTACAAATATTTTAACTGAATAACAAAGTCACAAATGAGAGGATTTAGCCTTGAGTAGGTTCTCCACATTCATAGACCTCAGAGATGAAGAGTAAATAAGCCTATGGAAAGAGAAAAGGAAGGTTAATATAAATGAAGGGTGAAAGATATGTAGTTGCTGCTGATTTTTTTTAATGTGGCAACCAAAATAGAAAAGAAGAAAAAAAATCCATGATCAGAAATCATTTTTTTTGTTCAATTCAGTATCAATTGATTCAATTCAGTATCAATCCTCTTTTTTGGGTCCTAACCCTCTCACTTTTTTTTTTTTTTAAAGTTTGATTTTGAGAAAGAGTGAGCTTAGCGGGTACTTTGTCCCTGGTATGAAAAAGACTGCATGCCCTTAGAATAAAGGAATGGATAGATCAGGCATGTTGGCCTTAAAACAGCATTGTCTTTTCATTTGGACTTCATTGTCTTTTCATTTGCAGGGATACACTCAGCTATATCAGCTGCAGACTTCTTTCCATAAATGGTTCTGCATCTTAACTCGATCCTGGTTCATTTTTCCATAGTTGAAACTTTTCATTGCAGAATATCAGTCTGTTTTTTTCACAGCTGGTTTTGTGGCTGTTTTTATTAAATTCACATGTTGGTTAAAATAAACGTATGCTTGTCCCTGAAGGAGAAATGCTTGCATCCATTTGAAAAGAAAGAAAGACTCTCTCTCTCTCTCTCTCTCTCTCTGTGTGTGTGTGTGTGTAGATTTCAGAGGAAAACAACAGCACTGAGGAATATCATTTGAGTTTATACCCTGACAAGGTCTTTCTAAATGTGTTTACTGTTAAATGAGAAACACCGCTTTGATTTTTTTTTTGTAATATTTAATTTTTCTTGATTTCTGTCCTTGGCAGATGAAACAATTGTTCTAAGAATGTCTTAGTTTAATTGCAGCCAGTAGAAAACAACCCTGAAGGCAAATTGACCAAGCAAAGGGTTTATGACCAGAAAGTCTTGACAATTCCCTTTCGTGGCCATTTTTCCTTTTTGGCTTGTCTCAAAGTGCAGGCTGTGAGGGATACTCTGACCCTATAAAGCCAGTTTCTTGAACTAATTTGATGGCTTTTTTTATCTGTGTTTAATGAGGAAGCTTTGCCTAAAGGCAGCTATTCACTACCAAAGCTATGGATTGCCTTCTCTCCCTTCCCTTCTTTTTTTTTTTGAGAGTGGCGTAGGAAGGCATTCTGTTTTACTCAGAGAAATCTCGTAAAAACTTTTACAGAGAGAGTAAAACATTGTGCTCTTTTAAGGGGAAGGGGTGGGCTTGAATCCGTTGTACGTCTGAAAAGAAAAGGCATCTCTTTGTAATATTCAAAGGTCAAGTTTTCTAATTCTGTTTTGGGACTTGTTTGTGTTGAGTTTTAGCCAGCATTCTCCAGCACACAGTAGTGGATCTAAAAAACAACCCTTCTCACCCCACACCCAACTGCTGTTTTCCATCAGCATAAACAGTCCCTTTCCGTAATAACAGAGACGGATATAGCAGAGAACCCATTTCTGGGAGAATCAACTCCCTATTCATTTCTTAACCATTTTTGGGAAGAATTGATCTATTTGTATGTACAGGAGGAGGAGGAGGAGGAGGAGGCAGTAGCTCTAAATGAAATGACATCATACATATTACTCCCATTGATCCAATTTTAGGCTACAGCCAGGATAAAAGGATATGGCATCAGGGAGGAAGTATGCACATTTAGGCACAGGTCCCAGTGTGATAATGGAGTAATAATAGAAATCACGCCAGTGTCACTTGGTTGCTGCCTGGATCCAGGCACATTTTCCCTTTGAGGAGGCTTTCAATGAATTCATTCAAGTGCAGACTGTAGCAAATGGGATATTCAGAATACCAGCTGTACTCCTTAATGATTTGTGTCCTGGCGTAGGGGTGCGGCACAAGTCGTCATGCTTTTGGATGCTCAAGTGCATATATCTCTGTCACATTTTGATAGCGGTGGAAGGTCAGTAGTTAAACATTTCAATGACATTTTTTTTCCAGAATTAGTTGGGGATCTGGTATTTATTTCATTTATGCTAATGCAGGGTTGACAAATAGTCTCTTTTAAGGTGGGTGGTCTTCTGGGAGGAGAGGCCAGTGACCTTGTAGAAAAGAGTGAGAGAGCTTTGGATGCAGTAAGAGAGGGCTTTCCTTGTGCTGGTTTTATTTGGCATTGGGATATAAGAAGCTGGCTTTTGTTGCTGCTTAAATCCTGTACTTGCTTTGTCAAAACTTTTTTTCAAAGAGTTGGCAGTTGGAGACTTCAGTTCATCCTAAAAAAAAATGACTCTGCTAAGTCTAAGTCTTTCTAAGTAGACCTATAAATCTAGTTCCTGCTTAGATCCCGTGGAAGCTAGAACTGTCCACAAGTTGCTTAGTCAGAATGCGTTGTTATACTAATGGTTCTTTCTAATTTAGTTGCATTGTTAGGAATGTGTTTTTCTTTTTTTTTCAAACTTGGCTTTGCTGCATTTTTTTTCTCAACCGGATTTGAAAGTTACAGTGTCAGGAATGCAAACTTCAAAAAACGTGTGCATGTGTCAACCCGCAGAAGAGCACAGTAAGGTTCAGCGTGTGTTATCTGTAACCCAGCAAAAATGATTTAAAACCTCAGTTGTTACACTTAAAAGAATTATTAAACTTTAAAGGCCAGAGACGGTTGTGAGAATTTACCATTTCAAGGAATATGATTTTCTGGTTGGCATATGTTCTTTGAAAATTACAGACTATTTCAGCCTGCTCAGCACAACATAATAATTTATGTCTTCTCTCTAGTACTCTCTCTTAAAACACATTTGGCACAAACAATCATGGGAAAAATGATTATTATTATTTTCTTGCAAGGATCCAATTCAGTCTGGCAGGCCTATGTTTTTCCTAACCTTTTCATACAGATGGTCCTCGACTTATAACCACGATTGTGCCCAAAATTTCTGATCCTAAGTGAGACGGTTGTTAAGTGAGTTTTTACCATCTTTCTTGCAACAGTTGTTAAGCGAATCACTGCAGTTGTTAAGTTAATAACATGGTTTTTAAGTGAATCTAGCTTCCCCATTGACTTTGCTTGTCAGAAGGTTGCAAAAGGTGATCACATGACCTTGGACCACTGTCATAAATATGAATCAGTTGCCACGACTCTGAATCTGTAATATTTCTGCTGCCCTCTAGTGTTTTCATAGTTTTTGCAACTCTGATATTGTAACCTAAATTGCTATGCCCTTTAGTTTTGGGAGATTACTCCACTGCTTTCAGTTGCTTTGAAATTCAACCAGATCCCATTAGAAATTAAATGATCCCACTTAGAGTTGCAGCAGTAATTTTACCTCTTATGGGAGTATCCTACAGTGCATTATTTCAAAATGGGGATATTCTGCACAAATATCAATCTTAACTGTTTATTATTATAAGCTATAAGGAAGAATCATATAAGCTGGTTATAATAATTGTAGCATGGATTTAGAAGAAAAGATTTGGCATGGATTTACTAATCATGAACTAGAAAAGATCACACCAAGACTTCAAATAATTGTTTGAAACTCTTGCAAATTAATCAACAAATGATCATGGAGAGAATTGTGTAATCACATAGATCAGGGGTCCCCAACCCCCGGTACACAGCCCGATATTGGGCCCTGGCCCTTTGGGAACTGGGCCATGCAAGCTGCAGGAACAATGTGAAGCCCCCCCCCCCCCCGCATTGCTACTGCCAGTCTGCAGAGCTTTGGAGACCGCTGACACAGATACTTGTCAGTGAAAGGACAATGGAGTTGAAAAAAGAGCTAATTACCAATCAAAACTTATTTTAAGTGTGTACATATTATTTATATATAAAAATCAGAGACATCACCCTGCCAACAAAAGTGTGTATAGTCAAGGCTATGGTTTTCCCAGTTGCAATGTATGACTGTGAAAGTTGGAACATAAGAAAGGCTGACCGCCAAAGAATTGAGGCCTTTGAACTATGGTGCTGGAGAAGACTCCTGCGAGTCCCTTGGACTGCAAGGCGATCAAACCAGTCAGTACTAGAGGAGATCAACCCTGACTGCTCTTTAGAAGGCCAGATCCTGAAGATGAAACTCAAATACTTTGGCCACCTAATGAGAAGGAGAAGGACTCGCTGGAGAAGAGGCTAATGCTGGGAAAGATTGAGGGCAAAAGAAGAAGGGGATGACAGAGAATGAGGTGGCTGGATGGAGTCACCGAAGCAGTAGGCGTGAGCTTAAATAGACTCTGGGGGATGGTAGAGAACAGGAAGGCCTGGAGGAATATTGTCCATGGGGTCGCGATGGGTNGGCTGGATGGAGTCACCGAAGCAGTAGGCGTGAGCTTAAATAGACTCTGGGGGATGGTAGAGAACAGGAAGGCCTGGAGGAATATTGTCCATGGGGTCGCGATGGGTTGGACACGACTTTGCAACTAACAACAACAACAACAACAACAACATATTGGTTTGAACTAAATCAGACAAAAGAATGTAATTAGACAACATTAGAATTTACCGTATACATTTTATCTGAAGGACATAATATTCACTCATGGCATAGATGGTATGAGAGAATATCTTGAGGTGGTCATAAATACATCTTATTAGTCGTATATGGAGCAAATCCATGTTTGTCCTCTATTGAATGCTACTGCCCTGCTTACTTCTTGATTTGATTAAAAGTTTTGAAAATAACATTTAAAAACCAAATAGAAAAGGTGTAGTTTGTATATACATTTCGCATATGTGCATAAATTTAGTTCATATGTGAGAAATGAACATTTTATATGTTCATATTTTGTAATTTCACTCTCCCTTGTAGTGTTTGCTTTTAATATAAAATTCAGGATCGGAGATGAATGGCATAAATAAATGGAAGATTCTTACTTTGTTACTCTTCTTAGTCTTGGTTGCTTTTCAGTAATTTTTCAAAACCTCAAAATTTCAGCTGCATAATGCATAACGATACACGTTTCACAGAGGTAAACTGAGGTCATGTGGTTACTTTGTTTCTACATTTCTTTGCTTAACTTGGCCAAACTCAGAACCTTGATGAAATTTTAAACAATAGTTCCTTGTACAGT